GAAGGTCACAGGGTCAGCATGGTAACTGGGAAGGTCACAGGGTCACTATGGTGACTGGACAAGAAAGGAACTGCTTTCTTTATCAACTTGCAATAAAAGAATAATTCTGCTACATGCCTGTCCCTTCTACTGGAGCAGCTCCTGGTACCAGGGTCCGTGTCTGTGAGGCAGCCACAAGGGCAGGTGACCGGGCATGAGGAACTTCAGCCCGAGGAGCCTCTTGATGGTGGTCACAACGGCAAAAGTGATCACAGAAAGGACATGCTGGCTGCCACACATGCACCATGGACAGGAACAACTCAACGCTAGGATGGTCAAAGCTTCTTCTGAAGCTCAGGCGGGTGGGGGAGGGGCCTCCCTTGCCGGCTAAGGGCGGACATCCTCCCTATCTTTACAAGAGGATTCAGGACCCTGGACCCAGCTTGAGTGGAAGTGGAGCAAAACTTTTTTGTTTTTTAAATTACACCTTGTGGTGGTTTGAATAGGAATGGCTTCCATCAGCTCACATGTTTGAATGCTTGGCCTATAGGGAGTGGCACTATTAGGAGGTGTGGCACCGTGAGGGCATGCTTTGAAGTCTGGGAAGCTCAAGCCAGTTCACTACCTGACGCCTGCCAATCAGCATGTACTACTACTCTCAGCTCCTCCTCCGGCACCACATCTGACCGCATGACGTCATGATGATAATGGACTGAACTTCTGAAAGTGTGTAAACCATAGCCAATTAAAGGTTGTTCCTGTGACTATGAGAATCACGGGAGTCATGGTGTCTCTTCACAGCAATAAAACTCTTAACTAAAAACATTCCTTAAGCAGCCTTTGTCTGGTATTTAGTCAGAGCGACAAGAAACGTGACCAGCATGAGTCTCCTGGACTTCCTGTCCTTTGTTAACTGTGACGCAGGTCCTAAACAAGACCTGTTCGGTGACAACACTGGTTGGCAGTGAGTGGGTGGGGGTGGGGAAATCTCACAAAGCCCCACCCATACAGGAAGAGCTCCAGGCAACTACCGGCTGCTAAAGGAGAACGAATCAGTCTTCTCCAGGTATAGTGGTCCGATCCCAAGTGGTCAGCCCTAAACACATAGAAACACAAGCCATGCTAAATGGTCCCAGCAGTCTGTACCCTCACACACACTCTCTCTCTCTCTCTCTCTCTCACACACACACACACACACACACACAGACACACACACTCTCTCACACACTCTCTCTCACAAATATTCTCACATACACAACACCCACTCTCACACACACATTAAAGAAGAAGTCATTGAAATTGAGAGGAATTGGGGGAGGCTTCAAAGGAGCTGAAGGGAGGAAGGGAGGGAGGGAGGGAGGGAGGGAGGGAGGGAGGGAGGGAGGGAGAAAACACTGCAAATACATTACTCATATATGACATCCTCAAAAACTAAAATAAAAAAAAAAGCTTTTTAAGTATAAAAAAAATCATGACTCCCCCCCCAACTTCTCTGATGAATAACAACTTTTCCAAATTTCAGCCTTCGGGAAAAACCTACCTAAGCATGGTATAGAACAAGGAGTTGTTGATGAGGTTAGACCTCTTTCCCTAAGTTTAAGGGTTCTATGCCGTTTACCTATGAGAGCTCCTAGTGTTGGCTTTTTTTTTCCCTTTGTTTCTTATAAATAAATACTTTCTGAATTGGGTGCAGTAATGAGTGCCCACAGGTAGCTCTGGAGAAGTGCAAGTTGAGATCCAAGAGTTCAAAGGTCATCCTCAACAACACTGAGAGTTCCAGGCTAGCCTGGGCTACAGGAGCCTCTGTCTCAAAAAGACAACAATGGGGCACAGACAGACAGACACGCACACACAGACACACGGACATTTCTCAGACTGGGAAAGCACTGACTACATTTTCTCTAAAGCATTTCGAGGGAAGAGTTTTAAGTCACAGATGAGGCCAATATAAAACTTTGGACCCGTGACCCAAATTAACATAACTCAAGACAGCTGTGGTATCTAGGGGTTAGATAACCAACCCCTAGATCAAGAAGATCTAGGGAAGAGGCAAGAGGATCAGAAGTTCAAGGATATCTTCAGATACAATGGTTAATTTGGAGCCAGCCTGGGCTACATGAGATTCTGTCTCAAAATTTCATAATGCCAGCCCTCCAAAATTCTCATAGAGAGTGTGTGTCCCTATACTGTGGAGAAAATCAACACCTCCAGTCCTTTGGGAGCCACAGCCTCAAAATCCAGCGCTTTTATTCAGAGAATTTGGTTTCTTCTCAGAAAGCCATCCCACCTTCACAAAAGCGAGCTTAAAGTCTGCCATGATGGCATACGTTTGTGTCATATAACACTTGGGAGGCTGAGGCAGGAGGATCTACATGAGCTTGAGGCCAGCCTGGTCTAGAGAGGAAGTTCCTGTGTTTGAGACTAGCCTAGGCTATGTATTTAAGACACAGTCTCAGAAGGAAAAAAAAATTAAAGTAGTTCCTCCAGCTTCTGTACCTAAGGTGCAGCAGTTACATGGGCACGTAACAGCCCATGAACCATGAGGAAATCTGTGAGGTCTGTGGATCTGACTACGGTTCCTCGGTTCACTACAGTGATGAAATTCCCCAGTAAGTTTTGTTATGGTTGCAATTTCCTGTAGGTGTAGTTATTTCGAAATAAATGAGTTTTATAGCAAAGAAACGGAAGTCGTAAAGTCCCCCATTAAACTAAATACAAGCAAGTTCCTGTAGCTGAACCAATAAGCCCGGACCTCCGCCCCGCCCCCTAGCGGTGGCTGTGTGACTTGCCTCAAAGCCTCATGAGTCAGACTTCTCATTTGCATACCCATCATTCCTTTCATGTAATATAATTTTGAAGCTTAAAATATATATGTATATCTATATGTCACCCATCATCTAGAGCTAAAACGACTTATTACATTGCCGTACAGATAAGATACTGGGTAGCTCCTGGGGCTGAAAAGTCACCATCGACGAACTAGGAACTGCAGTTACTGGTGAACAGAGCTTGCAGCTACTTGCTGTATACTCTGGTTTCTCTTCAGATCGTATAAATCTTTCGCCTTTTACTAAAGATTTCCGTGGAGAGGAACAAACCCGAGTCTTTAGCAATTTTTTGAAGTCTTGCTTCTTGCAAGGCTGATGTTGCAGTTTTAAAGTAAGATAAATGTCAAGTGGCTTATACTGATGTGCTTTAAGTTATACTGCTTCCAACTTGGACTTTAAAGACTTAGAAACTTTTAAAGGTGTTTTAAGCATTAAAAACAGGGACATAGAACGGAAATTTCTCTCAACAGCTTCTTGTATTGGAAGTTGGCTTCATTTATTTAGCCGGTTCCTCTCACAGGTACGTGTCCTATCACATGATGTGTGTACATAATGTGTAAATACACTTTGTTCCGAACCTAAAGATTGAACGTGACCATATGAGGGACCCTACCCAAAAAGGTGTGCCTTTGAGACACTCCAAATTGAGAGCCAGATCCCAAGAGACAGCTACAATTCAAACAACACAGAAACTAGAAAATTTAAAAGATTAGCATTCAAAGAGAAGCTAATACAATTATTAAGACTGAAGCCTACAGCTCTTTTGAGCTTCAGAGAAGGAAGGAAGGAAGGAAGGAAGGAAGGAAGGAAGGAAGGAAGGAAGGAAGGAAGGAAGGAAGGAAGGAAGGAAGGAAGGGA